AGTAGAAGCAAAGGTTTTGGGGCTGGAAAAACGTGCAAGGGTATATAGCAGAGGTTTTGGGGCTGGAAAAACGTGCAAGGGTGTATGCTTATTGTTCTTCTCACTGTGTAAAAAATCTGATGTCCTACTCCCTTCTTATATAGGGATGATGGAGTGATAGCATCATTAAGGCATTCAATATTGGCATAAAGCCAATCTTTGTAATCTCTGAAACAATAGCCCACTACCTGGAGATTAAATTCAGAATTCAAAATTAGAGTTAATATACAATTAATTTTGTAACGGATGAATTTAATCTCACAAGTGTTGTCCCAGCTGTGTTACTTTTGGCCTCCTCTCGACCAAGGCCCAAGGCCGAACATTCAACCTCCTCTCGACCAAGGTCGAACTTTCGACCGAAACCAGCAACTCTCGACCAAGGTCGAAACCAGGAAGTGACTTTGGAAAAATGATACCGAAAGTTGGCATAACTTAGCCCGCAAGGCCAGCCAACATTCGTGCCCGCAGGTGCCGGCGCACATGAGCTTAGGCTTAAATCAAGCCTTTTCAAACTCAGTTTGGGATTTGATTTTCACCCCCCCCCCCCTCCCATGCGCGCGAGAGAAAGCCCCTATGCTATACATTCAATAAGCCTTTAAAAGATTCTTGTATAAATAGTGGGGCAAATCCTCTTCCCAAACCAATGTGGGACAAAAACTCACTTTTTCCCTCTATTTTTCCAACTCAATGGGTCTACTTTGAGAATCAATATCTCATTCACCCATTATTCGTTTTGAGCGTACAATATATCAATCTCTTCGTCTCACTACGAAGAATCCGAATCCACTTTTACCTAACCCAAATCGGAAGCAAACCCCACCGATAATTGTACCACAAAATAGCCACTTAAAATGCCATTTTAATGCTATTTTTCCAACAATTATTAATAGTTTGGAGACGAATCATCCTGAGGATCAGTAAACTCCATCGTCGTCATCGTGTTCATCCTCGGAGACCGATGATGAACATCAATTTACTTCACTGCTTCTTCTTTCTTTCTTTATTCATTTTACTGCTTCTTCTTTCTTCTTGTTTAGCTGGATCTGGTCTTTTCAGTCTACAAGAGCGGCCTTCGATCTCGAATCCAAACCAGCAATGGCTTCGCCATGGGCAATTTACTCTCTACTGCTCCATTCGACTCTCTTTCTCTTAGCACAATCGAGCAGCAACACTAACCACGTATAATTGTCGTGTGCCGACACGGAGGTGCAGAGGTCCGACGGCTTCTTCTTCGGCATTCTGTTTGTGCCCAGGAACGCCACCTTTGCCTACGTCAACAACAACAACAACAAAAACATTCACTTGACTGAAAACAATCGCTCCATCACTGTCGCTCCGAACTCAGATCTAATTAAGAACCACTCCATCCTCACCACACCAGTGTCATCACTCAACCCCATTCACTTCACCAGCATCGTCGCACCACCGTCTTCATTACATCCTGACCGCCGCTCCACCACCGTCGTCACTCCATACTCACCGGCTTTTGTCACACCCCCATCGCTCTGCCACCGTCGCAAACTCAGATTAAATAATAATAATAATAATAATAATAATAATAATAATAATAATAATAAATAATAATAATAATAATAATAATAATAATAATAATAATAATAATAATAATAATAATAATAATAATAATAATAATAATAATAATAATAATAATAATAATAATAATAATAATAATAATAATAATAAAGATGAAGATGATTAAGCAGTGAAATAAATAAAGATGAAGATGATGAAGCGGTGAAATGAATAAAGAAAAAAAAAAAAAAAAAAAAAAAAAAAAAAAAAAAAAAAAAGAAGACGAAGCAGAATAAAGAAGAAGAATAACAGGGCGTCCGGAAGTTTTTTTTTTTAATTTATGCTTATGTGGCAATCCAAATAATCCAAACATAGCTTATGTGGCGAGCCACGAGGGCAGTTACCAACACTCACCAGAGAGGAAACCTGCTAACGGGGTCGGATAATTCAAAATCGTTAGTTCATGTGTTCAATTACACTTTTAAAAAGTTCATGTGCCTAATTGACTTTTCACAAAATGTTCCGGGGCCTATTTAACGCTTTTCTCTATTTATACCAATGTGTCCATGAGAGTTCAGTTGAATTGGTTCAAAGATATGCTGTCATCTCTGATGCCCAGCTAGCCAAAAGAGAAGATCACCAAAATTTTAAAAATAAAAAATAAAATCTATGACTTAAATGTAACCTGTTAATTAATTTAATTGCATAAAAGTGAAAAGATGAAGGTTCTAATTGGAACTTTTGTTAGTTTAAGGGACTAACTACATTTTGGCTTATAGTTGAAGGGTCTATTTGACCTTTATCCTGATCCTTAAATAAAGTAAGGTGATTGATTGAGTAGTTAATGATTATAAAGTATTGCAACATTTATTTTAAATAATATTAGAGATATGTAATGCATGCTTTACAAATGGATGCTAAAATTTGTGTTGATACTGGTCAGATCCATTTTACTTCTCGATCTTGGCCATTAATCATACATACTTTATTGCAATGTAGTATCTGTCTAGTTTAAATCTCCGGGCAGTGTCCAATTTGTTAGACATGTTATATTTAGTATTCTTAAATGTAACATTATATTAGTATAGTTAGACTTTGATTTAGTTAGTAACTACTAGCTAATGTATAGGGATAGTTAGGCTAGTCATCTAAGTCTATTGTATCTCTATGTAACAGTTAAGTTGTGTAATCTACGCAAAACTATTCTCTAATCTGGTATCAGTTTGTCCAGGTTTCTCTCTCTCTCTCTCCCCAACCATGTCCACCAACTCCAGCGAGCGGACGGTCACCATCGCCGCGGTACCACCGCCGGCCACCACAAACAACCTATCCACGCCAAACCACTTCGTATCCATGAAATTGACTACCAAAAATTTCTTGTTTTGGCGCACGCAGCTCGTCCCGTTCCTCCATGGGCAAGGATTGCTGGGATTCGTGAATGGCGACACGCCTTGTCCTCCGGCGATCATCCCCGCTCCGGCCACCAGTGAGGCGAATTCCGGCGGCACAACCTCCACCACCATAGCCAATCCGGCGCATGCCAATGGATTCAACAGGATCAATTGATCTTGTCGTTGCTCGTGTCATCCCTTTCCGACGAGGTTATGTACCTCGCCGTCGGCCGAGGTACTTCCCGTGAAGTGTGGACTTCCATCACCTCGGCTCTGGGCTTGTCGACCAAGGTGCGGTGTCTGAATTTGCTGGCTCAATTCCAGTCCCTCTGGCAGGGTGACAGCACCGCCGGCGAGTATCTTGGGCGAGCACAGCTTCTGGTAGAAGATCTAGCGCTAGCCGGCCGTCCGGTCTCATTGGACGAGCAAAACCTCTACGTGTTCCGCGGCCTACGCCCGGAATTTCGTGGTATGGCGTCCTCCCTATCGCCGACCGGAGCTCCGGTGTCCATCCCGCAACTCGCCGGTTTCCTTCAATCGCAGGAGTTCATTTGGGCGGACGAATTCACTCCTTTCGGCGGCGCTCATACGGCGATGGTAGCTGGCAGGGGTTACAGACAGAATCATGAGGGCGGTGGTGGCAATCGGCAGTCGAACTTCTGGAAGTGTCGAGGACGCGGCGGTGGTCGTGGACGCGGAGGCCAAGGCAAAGGACATGGTGGAGGCGGTCCTCGTTGTCAGATATGCAGGGCACATGGTCACATGGCCATGTACTGCCGGCAGCGATATTCCGGCCATCCACCGCCGCAGGTGTATTCGGCTGTCACCAGCGATGAGGCGACGGTCACAGCTGATGCGTGGTTCCTTGACACCAGGGCGTCGTCTCATGCCACGCCGGACCCGACGATGATGGCACACTCCGAGTCCTATGTTGGCGGCGATGTGTTGCGCGTAGGCAACGGTTCAGGTTTGGGGATTTCTGGTATTGGTCATGCATCATTGTATTCCGAGTCTAGACCTCTTCGTTCATCTAATATTTTGCATGTCTCTGATCTTTCACTTCCGTTATTATCTGTCAATCGTTTCACTGCCGATAACAATGTATTTTTTGAATTTCACCATAACTATTTTGTTGTGAAGGATTGCAAAACCAAAACGGTGCTCCTTAAAGGTCCTAGCACGGGGGGTTTGTACAAGTTGTCACTGTCTCGGTCACATGTTGCGTATATAACTGCTCGTGCGTCGGCGGATGTTTGGCATCATCGGCTTGGCCATCCTCATGGGCGAGTTCAAGAGCGTGTTCTACGGGGTTGTCCGGTCACCTCCCAAATATTAAGTTCGTCCCAATTGTGTTCGTCACGTCAGATTGGGAAGTCATCCCGTTTCCCATTAGATAGGGTTTTTGATTCTAGTAATAATATACTCGATTTAGTGTACACTGACATTTGGGGACCGGCACCCGTTGTTTCTGCTAGGGGTTTTCGGTATTTTCTTTTATTTGTAGACGATCACTCCCGTTTTTGCTGGTTTTACCCATTAAGGTTAAAATCAGACATCTATAAATGTTTTGAGTCTTTTCGTGTGATGGTAGAACGCCAATTTCGCGTTCTATCAAAACTATTCAATCAGACCTCGGGGGCGAATATTGTTGCCTGCACGCCATTTTTCATTCCCACGGTATTGTGCACAGGCAATCTTGTGCCTATACACATGAGCAAAACGGCCGCGTAGAGCGCCGAAACAGACATATTGTGGAAACCGGTCTGGCCCTACTGGCCGAAAGTTCAGTTCCCGTCAAATATTGGGATTACGCGTTTGAAACAACGACCTATCTCATTAATTGTCTATCGTCGTCGGCGTTGCAATTTGCCAGTCCCTATGAGTCTATCTACAAAAAACACCCACCATACACTTTCTTCCATGTCTTCAGGTGCAGGTGTTACCCCTATCTGCGGCTCTACAATCGCCAAAAGATAGAGTATCGCTCTGCGCCCTGTATTTTCTTAGGATATCCTACGTCCTATAGGGGTTACCGATGCATGGACCCAAATACTGGGAAGACCTTTATCTGTCTGCACGTTCGGTTTGACGAGACTGTCTTTCCTTTTTCTACAGGCTCACAAGACCGGGTAGCCACCCGGTCACGCAACCGAACATTCCATGGGCTCCAGCGCCTATAGTCCCGTATGAACCTCCTACACCGCCACTCAACGAGGTTCCCTTAGCCGTCTAGGCACCACATCTGGCTATCCAAACCCAGCAGACGGTGCAACCCTTGGCACGGCGGGTCCGCCAGCCACAGACGCAGGACAGAGAACACGTCATGCGTCTTCGCCACATGACACGCGGGACAGGCGAACAGTTTCATGCTCTAACAGCCTCTGCGGACCCAACTTGCTACACTCAGGCTGTTGGGCATCCCCAGTGGTGTGATGCCATGGACCAGGAGTTTAATGCTCTCATGCATAACAACACCTGGTGTCTCACTCCACATAACAACACCGCCCGGTTTGAACGTTATTGGCTGCAAGTAGGTATACCGCACCAAACGCAAGGCGGATGGTTCTGTTGAGCGGTATAAAGCTCGCTTGGTGGCCAAAGGGTTCAACCAAGTTGCCAGAGAAGACTTCTTTGACAAGTTTAGTCCTGTGGTCAAACCGACTACGGTACCTCTGCTTCTTTCTCTTGCAGTTTCACAGGGTTGGACTCTGCGGCAGCTGGATGTCCACAATGCCTTTCTCAATGGGCATTTAGCGGAGGCTGTTTACATGCGCCAGCCGCCTGGCTATGAAGACCCGACTCATCCTGATTTTGTGTGCCTTCTTCAGCGATCTCTGTATAGCTTGAAGCAAGCTCCGAGGGCCTGGTTCAAGCGGCTGCATGACTACCTGTTGACTATTGGATTCATATCATCCAAAACGGATGTTTCCCTGTTTCACTACAAAGCTGATAACTCCCGGGTGTTTTTACTGGTCTACGTAGATGATATAATAATACTCGCGAATAACTCGAATCTTGTTGCCACTCTGCTGCGTCAACTCTCTGTAACCTTCAAGATTCGTGACTTGGGGACTCCCAGCTTCTTTCTTGGTATTGAAACATTTCCTTTTGAGGGCGGTCTTTTGCTATCTCAACGCCACTATATGGATGATATCTTACATCGGGCAGGAATGTCCGACTGCAAACCTCTATCGACACCTGCAGCTCTCACTCAGGCCGCATCCCCTACAACTGAACCCTACGAAAACCCCACTCAATACCGCCACCTGGCTGGGACTCTTCAGTATCTCACCATCACTCGGCCGAATCTCTCTTATGCCGTCAATCGGCTATGTCAGTCCATGCATGCACCTACTGACGAGCACTGGGGTCTTCTAAAGCGGGTGTTGCGCTACGTTAAGGGTACACTGTCACACGGGCTTAGGCTTATGGCGTCACCAACTTCGGACATCCATGCCTACTCCGATTCTGACTGGGCTGAGTGTCCTATCGACAGGAAATCAACCGGTGGGTATGTTGTCTTTCTCGGTTCGAATCTCATTTCCTGGGTATCTCGCAAGCAGCATACTGTGGCGCGCTCGTCTACCGAAGCTGAGTACAAGGGTCTTGCTGATGTGGCGGCTGAAGTCACATGGATCGTATCTCTTCTCCGGGAACTAGGACTGTATTCTGGGTCTCCTGCAACGTTGTGGTGTGACAATCTCGGCGCGACCTATATATGTGCTAACCCAATTTTTCACACCAGGACTAAACATGTGGAAATCGATTATCACTTTGTCCGAGACAAAGTTGTGTCAGGGGAATTCCTTGTGAACTTTGTTTCAACCAAAGACCAGCTAGCGGACATCTTCACGAAGCCTCTACCTGCGGCTTGGTTCATCACTTTGCGAGACAAGCTCAATGTTGTGTCTCCACCACCTTGTGCTTGAGGGGGTGTGTTAGACATGTTATATTTAGTATTCTTAAATGTAACATTATATTAGTATAGTTAGACTTTGATTTAGTAGTTACTAGCTAATGTATAGGGATAGTTAGGCTAGTCATCTAAGTCTATTGTATCTCTGTGTAACAGTTGAGTTGTGTAATCTACGCAAAACTATTCTACCTAATGAAGCTCAAAGAGTTAACAACGCCTCAACTAAGGCTCGATCTCATGACCTTCCACATGGGAGAGATCACTACATGCTATCTGAGCACAAAGTGCTTGGCGGTCATAAATAAGTTTATTACTCTCAAGATTAAAAAGCCTAACTCTCATTCTCAAATTATGGACATGTTTGGTAACATAGTTAATTTATCAGTTAATTTTGACTTATTTGACCACTATTAGTTGTTTGACTTGGTTAAACAATTAATATGAGTGTTTGATTAATTAGCTTTTTATAACAACTAGTACTGCACTGGTGCGATGCACGAGATGAAAATTAAACTATATTATAATTAAATATTGAATTACTAATGCACATCTCAAGAAAGCATATAATTATTTAATGCGAAATATGAATTAATTATATATATCCAATTACAAATTTTTTAAAACTTCTTGATATACAACATTTATTGTTGAAGAAGAATACTCTCCATTCTCACCTAAGACAACCACTTTAAGACAAAGCTACATACAATTGTCCATTCACAAACACAGGTTTTTTCAGAAGTAAACCAACTTTTGTAAGGCTTTGTCCTTGACCCTTATTTATTGTCATTGCATAAGACAACATTAGAGGAAATTGTCTCCTTTGAAACTTAAAATGCCAATCGATGATCAGACGGTGTCAATGCCAACCTTGGAATCAAAACTCGTGTACCCATACTATTTCCTGACATCACTTTCACTTCCACAACACGATCTCCTAATTTAGTAATGATCAATCTCATACCATTGCACAAACTAAGAGTATGGTAATGTTCCGTAAAACCATAACTGGAGATCTAACTTGCAAGTTAAGACAGTGATTTGGAATGCCCGAACATTTCAGAGTGTTAAGAAATTATGTTGTATAAGAAATATTAATAATAATAGAAATATTAGTAATAAGAATAATTACATTACAAATAAAAATCAGAATAAAAACCAATACAGTTGAAAGATGAATATTTTATATTATTGAATTGAGGTATAATTTTATCTCCCAAATTTTGTAAAACTTGATTGAATATAAAATATATATCATAATCATGTAAATTTGTTGGTGTAGTAAATCTATTTACAAACATTGTAAACACCAACATTATTGAATTAATTTTACTTTATTATTTATGTGTTATGCTTCTGCTAAACATACCTTTTTGAATTTGTGTAACTTATTATAATGAAAGAATTATTAAGCATTGCCATTTGTGTTTGTAAAGAGGCAAGTTTCATTAATGTAATAATAAAAATAATAATAAAATTAATATAATATAATAAATAATACTAACACCAATAACAAAAACTAAATTAAAAATTATTAATAAATTAAATATCAACAATAACAACAATATCAATAATAATAATAATAATAATAATAATAATAATAATAATAATAATAATAATAATAATAATAAAACAAATAAATTAATGGACTGTAGCCCATTTACCTAACCCTCTACCCGGCCCAAACCCACCAGTGGCCCACCTATCTAAACCCCAATCATAATTGTATGGACCATTGTCCATACAAGTTGTGTGGACCATATTTTATCTACTGTAAAATAATGTACATTCAGTACAAAAATAATGTACATTCAGTACAAAAATAATGTACATTATATTCAGGGGATGTACATTATTTTTGTTCTGAGTGTACATTATATTGTATAATGTACATTCAGTACAAAAATAATGTACATTTAGTATATTAAAAATGTACTTTTTATTATGGTCCACATAACATTGTGTGGACCATGGTCCATACAATAATTTGCCTCTAAACCCACCCAACTCGACAGATTCCCCCAACTATCTCTCGCTCATCCACTCTCCTCCTCGCTCTGTCGTCCCCGGTTCTCCTTCCACCTTCTTCGCGATTCTAGTCCGATTGCCTAATCAAGACACATGAACGCTTTAGGAAATCGAAGCCATAACCGACCTTCAAAACACGAAAACCTCTCCACATTGAAGTTTTATCCCCTAAATCGAAGCCCTAAACCGAGAGAATTTCCGCCAAAAGATGTCTGGTATCCTCCACAGTTTTGTTTAATCCTTCAAGCTTCAACTTAGAAACCAAGACAAACTCTCATCATAGATAAATTAAACCCAAATTCGAAACCCTAAAGCAATACAACTTCCGGCCAAGGAGTACCGATGTCGATGGAAAATTAAGCCGAATCTGAGTTTAAATCTGTCAGAAAACACGATGCTCCTACATGCAGTAAGTTATAATTTCACTTCTTCTAAAATGTAATTATTTAACTCTGTAATTCTATAATCCTATTTTATGTGTTTGTAGATGTACATACCTAGACTTTGAGAAGAACAAATATGTCTCAGAGGATCGATTCAAAGCCTTAAAACCCCTAAAAGATAGACACAAAGAACAGCTGCCTAGAAGATAAGTGTAATATTTTTTTTTTAAAAAAAAAATCTTGTAAATGTTTTGTATTCCATTTTCTAGATTATTATTACTTTACATTGTTGAATAACATGATTTTTTTTTATTTACTAATTATATCAAATCCTAACTGATGACTTTTAGACGGAGGTTCCTAACACTGAGAAGAACAATCTGTGTGAATGAACAAATTTCAGTCATGTGTACTGTTAGAAAATAGAAGAAAAATACACGATTTTCAAAGATAAGTACATTTCTGATTTTTTTTTTTTTCCATACTATAGTCTCTCTCTATGTCAGTATAATTATTAATTGATTTGCCTTATTATTTGCTAATTGATATAATTTTCAGCATGTATATGAAACTTATGTCTAAAAATGGCTTTCATACCTTTATTTGGATGAGATCATACTTTCTCGTGCAATCAATAGTAGTGGATTTTTCTAACTTTCTCATCTTTCTTTAAGTTGCTGCCTCACATGAACAGTTAAAGAGAACATGAAGTTTGAAAGTACCCTTGGAGTTCTGTTTGTTTTTTTATAGGAGGAATAGAATATGATTACCCTAGTGGAACAATGCTGAATACATGTGAATGATTAATACTTTATAGACTGCTGTTAGGATTGAATTGCCTTTTTATTGGGAATGTAATAGCCTAGTGATCTTTGAATTCAAATCCCCCTCTTTTGGTTAATTTGTTATTACTTTGTAATATCAAATTTTGCTTTGAACTTCATTTAAATCTAAATTACTCCTATTTTTCCACTCTGCATTGTTTATTGTTTGTAGTTATAGTTTATAATTATTTTTTCATTTCTTATTTGCAAGTAACAAACATAGATTACCA